AGGTTTTTTAATGCTCACAACAGCGGCCAACTCAGAATGAATGGAAGCAAAGAACTTCACAATCAGAGAATTAGGGATAAACTGCTTGTCAGTCCCACCAGTATTTTGTAGACTTTTCAACCTGTCTTACATGAGAGGCAAGAAAAATCTTCGAGATAACTATAGATCCGTCACTTTGCTATCAGTGATATGAAAAACCATGGAAAAAGCCGTAAACCATAATATCTTCAAAGCTTCAACATTTGAGCGATCATCAATATGGCTTTCGTGAACAATGATCAACATGCAGAATAGAGAGCTGTTGCGCTTGATATTTCTAAAGCCTTTAACCGTGTGTGGCAAACCGTGTGTTGGCCAAACTTCGATGCTATGGCATGTCGGATCATTTTTTTGTATGACTCTCCAGCTTCCTGAAAGGATGTTTCCTGCAAGTGGCAGTCAACTCTGGTGTTCCCTATTATTATCTCCAACCCTCTCTTTATTGTACATCAACGACTCATTAGGAAATTCAGTCATCTGGCTCTCGTCGATTTATCTTCTGACATTAACCTTCTCATCGATATATTTTTGCGATACGCCTCCACCTTACACTTTCCTTTGTCTTCCAATTTAGACTAATCAATAGAAACATCTAGCTTGTTATATAGTTTGGGTCCAAGGTATAGGTGACTCTTCTGATAGAGAGAGGTTTGGTGGGGATTCGCTATCAGCAACCCTCTGGCTCTAGTTGCGTATGGGTGGTCTTGTTGGTTTACCGTAAATGTTTCTCTATTTTTATAAACGTAGAGACACATCTCATATATATACAGACGAGCAACTGTGAGTATTTCCAGCTCTTCGAATGAGTTTCTGCATGAGTGTTGCCTGAATTAGCAATTATTCTGACCACGCACTTTTGTAAAATGAATACTCTATCATCAGAGAAGCTAATAATCCAATTCGTAATTTCATATCACAAGTGACAGCAAATAGTTGCATAAAATAAATTTAGGAGAACCTCTCTTTCACAGTAATTCGACATAAATCTCAGTGCATAACAGTTATTTCGTAGTTTATCACATAGTGAATCTATATGGGGACTCTAATTGAGCTTATGATATAGAATTTGACCTGGCATGTTTGTTTCTGGATTGGGTGTCACTATAGTTGGCTATTAGTTTCGAAAGCATGTTTCTTTCGCGTAATTCAATTTTCCAGTTCATGTCTGGAAGTTACTTTTTTGCATGATCCACACATCTTTGTTATAGGGTTGACTTTTTGGATTTTTTGCTTCTTTCCTTTCTTTGGAAGATCGCCATATATTTTTGTATGAAGATGAAGAAGAAGAAAGTCAAAACCGTTCTTTTCGAAATATTATTCTCATTTTCAATTTGAAATATAATTAGCTTGGGACATTCACTGGGTTTTTGAAAATAAAACAAAAAATATCTAATTTCTTGTGTACTTTTGCTTTATAACTCAAAAATTCATTGTCTCTATTATTGAAATTTCATTTCAGATGATGAGGTCTTCTAGAACAAATTACACATATTTGTTCAACCAACTGAAAACCAGACACCACTTATAAACAAAAATTAAGTTTTAAACCTGAACCATCGTCCAAAACACCATCATTGTTGACAATAGTAGGATATCACAAAATACTATGCTGGCCACGGAACTTGCAGTTGTTGGTTTTGCAGTAGTTGAACTTGTTGATTGTGGGGTAGTTGAAGTTGTTATGTGTATTGTTGTTACCATTGATGGATCAGGAATCTTTTTCGTGGTTGCCACCTGTCGGTAATACTCTACGGAACTCTTAGCAATTCTGTCTCTGTAGGGATTATCGAAGTTGATGCGGTAGAGACCGTAATGTTGACTGAAATTGAAATCAGATGATTTACTTTATTTTCTTGTGAAAATTGTTGAAGAGCAATCCAATCACAAAATGAGGATAAAATATCAAGTTGTATCTATGAAGAGTTCTTTCGAAAATTATTGATCTTGTTGGTCGATTACGTATTATGAGATAAAGTTAGAAATACAACGAACGCACGATTGAGGTCAAGAACACATAACAAACTCAAGAATAATAAATATAGTTTCAAAAACTAAAAAACACGCGTTTAAAAAACATCGAACTGAAAAGTTGTTTTTATTAAATACGCTTAAAACAATAACAAACGAAAAATACTAATATTATTGTGAAAAAGCGACGGACGCTTGATATACAAAAAATATGGCACAAAGCGCCCACGTTTAGCTTATTTGGAAAAAATATTTCAAACTTTTAGTTCGATGTTCTTTAAAAGCGTGTTTTTTAGTTTTTTTAAACTGTATTTTTAATTTTCAGTTTCGTATGCTATGAAAACGTGTTTTTTGGTCTTCTCAAACAATATTTATCTTATCTAAACTTTGAGATCAATCAGCCGTATATTGTTTAGAATAATGACCATTGATATTTTCCGATTCCGGAGAGAGAGCCTGAAAATTAGCTACCAAGCCCAAGGCAGCAGGCGCGCAAAGGAGGTGTTGATAAAAAAAATAATTTTCTCAAATGAAGAAATACATGTAGAGTGAGTTCGAATTATATCAAGGACGTTACATACAGCGCCATCTGCCCACGAATAGATCAAGCAATGATGTCGATAATTCTGTTAAATACAAACTCTGACCTTGAGAGTTACAACCAAACATACATACATACATATATGAAGGTGAAGCTAATGAAAGCGTGTTAAACATGAGTTTGTCATCGAATAAATTAAGGTAAGTTCATATTATTTGGGAGCTACTGACTTACAAAATTTCTGCCAAGTCTCAATGAAACACTGAAGCCTCATGTGCTTATTGCACGTACGTCGCATCCTTTCATGATACAATTTTTCATCATTGTACCTCGTACTAGTTGGTACAGGTCCTTTGTTAGTTATATAAGTCACATTTTGGGTTGTCTATGAATTGTATCTGATGATCCAGTGCCTGACATTCGTATGAAACATGACTAACTGTCTTCATTCCTTTGTTACAGTGCTCGAAGTTGAGATCTCCACACAGCCTTATTTTATTCGAGTGTCCTTCGAATGGAAAGTGTACAGTAAATAGTCCTGTAATTTTTCTGGGCAGGTATCCGCTTCGTTAAAGGAATTGCATTTCAAACAGCTCAGTTATAAAGATGTTTTCCTATTTCTAGATTAATTTTTCTAGTACTTTCATATTTTAGTACCCCATCAGATAGTTTAGGGCCAATATATGATACATGGCAACATGTATATGAAGTAGCAGAAGAGTGTTTGGGTAAAATACAAATTTGGTTAAGTAACAATCTTCCCAACCTTAATGTTTAAAAATCGAAATTTATTACTTTCACTCTTCTGAGCAACCACCAACCTGTCCAACAAAAAATTTATTTACATATGCCAAAGTGTTCTGAAACCCTTTGTAAATGTCCATATATTGAAAAAGTAACTAAACTAAAGTATTTAGGAGTTGTAATGGACCAACATTTGAGATGGGATGAACATTTGCAATATATGAAGATACTTAGAGATCTTAGCTATAAAATGTTTGAACTCAGGGATATACGCACAAAAAAAAACTCAATTATTGTTTACAAATCTCTTGTTGAGTCAGTTATACGATATTGTATCACAGTGTGGGGTGGAATGTTTGAGAATGTGCTAAATATTGTACAGGTGCTCCAGAATACAGTTTTGGAAATAATGTTGGAGGGAAAACAGACAATTTGATACAGAAAAACTCTATTTTGTTAAAAATCTGTTTAAAAATCTGTTTAAAATCTGTTTTTCCGTTAATCAGCTGCCGCCCCCATACGAACGACAACTCTCAGAAGTTGAAAAACTTGTGCGAGCTAAGGACTAACGAGGTCTTACCTTTTAACGTGTGATTCCTAACACGTTAACTGAAACTAATCTGCTTGATATGAGAAGTTTGTATGCACACCAGTGTCTTATATGGATATACTCAAACAATAACAATTATTCTAAGGCAAATACAAAGTACACCAGAAATGTACATAATTTATCCATTGATATACCCCTTTACAAAAAAAGTCATACCCAACGGTCAGTCTACTATTTCGCTCCAAAACTGTATAAGATGCTTCCCCTTGAAATAAAGATAAATACCACATTTTTAAAGTATAAAAAAATACAAAAGATTTCATGATTGTAAATAATACCCGTATAAACAGTTTATTCAAACATACCCAATAACACAGAAATATCATTCATTTTCTAATCTTCCAATGTGTCTTTCAGTGTATGTGTACTTATTTCCAATATTATGTACACCTAGATGTATAGATGATTATAGGTACTCATTCTCATAAAATATACCAGCTTCCTCTGTCTACTCACTAACACAACTGCAACAGTTATATTTTCAAAGTACTTCCACGGGGAGACAGACGGAAGCACAGTACAAGCCACCTGCGCTTAGGCTGCTTCCCTCAAACTCCTAGTGGTCCTAATCATAATATTAATAAATTGTATATTAACATATTCTAAATGAAATTGAATTCAATTGAATTGAATATATTGAATTATTGATCAGTTTCTTCACATTTGTCATCCTCCAGTATGGAGTGAATCTATTCCCCTCCACCAGTTTTTTCATCAGTTCTCCAGTTCTTGTGAGCATATTAGACGCTTCTGTTTTCAAACTAGTTTGATAATTCAAGAATGACTCTAGAACAATCTGTATTCGTAGAGTAGGAAGGGTGAGCACTCAGGCCACATGTGACCCTTTGTACATCCTCCCGAGGAGTTGTCCTCCTAGGTCATCGTCCATTCTGTCCTTCCCAGGAAGGTGGACAGGTTACTAGGAGACATCTCCTTAATATTGGCAGGTGTAGGCCAAGACTCGCTGAACACACACTCTCTTTGGTAACTTTGAGGTGTCTCACGGTGGCCTCCGCGAAGGTTTTGGATGGTGCAGCGATATTACTGTCGTTGCGCGGCTCCTTCAACCTTCTTGGGGTTCCTTCCGTAGAGGTGCACAAGTGAGGGAGCTTTCCTGTAGAGGAAGCCGGCTCCTTGCCTTTATTCAAGGCGGAGCTCTTGGAGCCCGCCGCAGGAAGTGCCCTTGCTGTTGGAGGTGATCTGCTATGTTCAGTCTCATTCCGAGCAGTACATTGGGGTGGCATTTCTGTTCATCCCCAGCCGCCACCTTAGATCGAGGTGAGCACTTCTGTTCAGCCTCCGGATTGGTTTTTTGTTTTTGTTGTTTCTGTCGTTTCACTCATATGTGTTCCCACGAGTAGCAAGGGCAGAGTTGGTCACCTCTGGCAGAGCCCCGCATTAACAGACGTAGGCTGATCACAATGAGGTTTCGCCTAGTTCCCCAAGGAGATTATTCGTGACCGCATATCTCCCTGCGGTCATTCAGCTGTCGGCACGATTCTTTACACCTTAGCTTGGGTAGTCTGGTCTACGGTGGCATGTTTTGCAAAGGCTTTTGGGGGGTTTTAGTTCCCCTTACTCTAACCATTTTTGCCACTGACCAGGAGTCCGGTGACCCCGTCCATAAGGCCACATTGGCTTCCCGCACAGAGCTTCCAGTCCCTTGGCTGTTCCCCTATCCGCCTCCTGGGAACGCGCCCGATAGGTAGCCCAACCCACGGGGAATCTAAAAGAATAAATAGCTTCTCAACTTCTAATCAAATATGTAAGGATATATTCATTTTTGTACTTCCATAGCATGCAAATATAGTTGGGAATAGTTAAAGGTAGTAAAAAACTTGATGAAAACTGCGGATTGATGAGTTCTAGAGAAAAAATGGAAGAAACAGTTTGGATTAAAAAATATGTATCTGTAGAGCTTGCTAATGTCGACCTAACAAATCGCTCATATAAAGACTTGAGCAATAGTAAGGCTACAGTTTGCATTTTTCTAAATCTAGCCCTAGTCTAGCCCTAGCCCTAGTCGGTAGAGTATTGAAAAATTTGTAAAGTCAACTCTAGATTCAATTCAATCTCAATGGGCTGAATTATGAATGATCAGCTTGTTAACATTATGAGGAAGAAAGTGAAGGTGACGATATAACCCCTCACGCCATCTAAGAGATCAACAAATAACTCAGTTCACGAGTATCAAAGGTAAACTGGGCTCTTTAAAGATTTGAAATCGATCGCCAAACAAAATTCGTCCTTTGTTCTCCACTGAAGTTCTGCGAAATGATCAGTAGTGAGAAAGAAAGTTTTTGGCTTTCTACTACTCCATCTGATACAAAAAAAGGGATGAGAGAGTCTTCCAAAGAAAGGAAGGAAGTAATCAATTTGAAACTCTATACATGAATGTGTAGATTATGCAAAGAAGTAACTTTCAGACACAAACTGAAAGAAAGTCCTCCTGAAACAGCTACTTTCATATAAACATTGAATTACACGAAAGAAAATAATTCTTTCGAAACAAATACTTCTATATGAACACTGAATTATACAGAAGATACTTTTTACTCACTTTGTATTTCAAACATTTGTTGTGGAATAAGAATCAGATATCATTCACATGAGTTCTACTTGGAATGAATGGTAATAAATTGTACTCACATAGAACACTGTCACTCTCACTGGTATACACCGATGTTTCGCCTTGAGACACTTGCCCTAAGGCTCTTCAGTACCAAATTGGATAACATTATAGAAAATACACACACTTCAATCATGAATTACGATTTTGAATGCCAAAAACTTTCTTTCTCAAAAAATTAATCACTCCTAAAAATATAACCCCTTCAATTCAAATCAGTAGTGCTAGTTATCTTTCAGTGCCTGAATGACCTATGGCATCGACAGAAGCGTGCCAAGAATAACTGAATGGTGTGTACCGCAAGAGATTGTGCTTGTTTCTTCAACAATTTAGTATTCACATCGATAATATATTTATAATGTATCAAATGACCATATATCGCGGCCTTTGCAGGTGACAAAACTATTCGATGTACTGAGAATAATAGAAAGAAGTCAAGAAATAGCAGAGAATGCCCTTAAAAAATTATAGAAGTAGTACGAAGATACGCGCCTGAATAAACATTCTGAATTGAACTCAAATGAATTATACGATTCATTTTACTTCATCATGATTTTTTTTCAAATTCACCTACATATACTTCTGTGGAATGATGTTGACACATAGATTAGGTTCTAGTTTCAAGTTATGATACCATAACACCATCTACACATACATGCATAAAAATATGCTGGGTTGAGTAGTAGAATAGCGTAGGCTGAACTACGCCAAGATAAAAATAAAGACCATTCATTATTATTATCATTGTTTGAAGGTGGTTGACAATGTTTCATGGTGAGTTTCATTAGTTCAGACTTTCATTGTCTAATGAGATATAAAATTATTTGAAATCCCTGAAAGAATCAATGCCACTATCCATCACACGAATGAACATGATTCATAGTAAGTTCCCTGCACATCTGGCAAAAATAGGCATTGATATGAATCCATTATGCTCTTCTTTAGCGGATATAAATCACATCCTATTCACATGTCCCAACTTCGAACTATACCGGTCGAATTTCTAAAATGATTTGCTTTCCTCGAATGTTTCGTTTCCAACAAATATAACAGTCCTTTCAGCTACACTCCATGAAAAAATAAACAATATATTTCTAACATTCATAATTCATTCTAAAATATGAATATAAAACGTAGTTACTCGATTGATTCCAAAATTCTGTGGCAAAATAAACTTCGGTTTGATGCTAGGAGGGGGTTAAAAAAACAATTGATTGAGCAAAAGAAAACTGAACTGAAATTACTATGAAATGAAATGAAAGCAACAATAAGAAATTGAACGATTGAATAGAAATAAAACTTAATCACCTGTTCCCTCTCTCTGCTTCACCGGGTTAGCGGGAGCTTACCGTCTGGCGGGAATTGGTCGTTTTCCGCTTGATTATGGGTTTCCGTATGTTGCATATCTCTACGCTAACTTTGCTAAATGCTTTGTTGAAGAACATTAATGCGGCTTCTTTGAATGATCTTAGTTTGGGACCACTTGCTGCTATGTTGATGAGTCCATACAGGCTCTGCTGTTCCCGATTTGCTTGTTCCTTCTCACCGTGTGTTCCTTGTACTCGGCAATGTGGACTTTCAATAACCTCTCATTTTCACCAATGTAGGAATTGCCGTACTCTCAAAGTATCAAAATGCAATTCTTGGAATCGCAGTCCGCGTTTGGTGGCCTGCTTTTCGTGGGGCTGCTACGGATAGTGTTTCCGGATCTGAAGCAAGTTCTGATGTTGTACTTGGATCCAATTCTTCTTATCCTTTCCGACAATCCTCTGATGTAGGGAAGTGCAAGTACTGGTTGTGATGGCTTCTCTTCCTTGTCTTTTAGCCAAAGTCTGTTCCACCATCGCTTTGGAGTAGCCATTCCGTTAAAGATCATTTTTGATGATACCCAGTTCCTTCTCGACACTTTCCTTCGCATTACAGAGCCCAAAAGTATGGTCTAATAGAGTCTTTATGATTCCTCTTTTAGTTGATTGATGGTGGTTGGATTCCTGGTTCAGATACGGCCCCGTGTGAGTCGGTTTTCGGTATACAGATGTTTCCCACTTATATATTAGACAATGGAAGTCCGAACTGAATGAACTCATTATTTCCTCAAAAATACACTTCCTCGCTATGAACTTTGGTACGATGATCTCAGGTTATCATTTTGTTCATGTAGATTCATTTGTTTTCACCAATATTTTTGTGAAACCAACAAACATACTTCCACAAGTACAGGTTATGCAAAACATAACCGGTATATTCATCAACTTACCTATAGCCCTGTGTCCATTCGAAGCTGTCCAAGAGACTCCAATACATATATCCGTGTACTCGAACTTTATCCTTATCAATGGCTTCTAGTACGGCATTGAGATAATCCTAATGGAAAAAACATAAATGCATTGATTTTTTCAATTCATAGAGTGAATCCGTTTCTAGACAGTGGAATTGCCAGTGTTAGTAGCTGAAGAACACTCAGTAGTTTCGATATAACTCACATTTTTTCAAAGAACGTTGCTAGAAGGAACAATCAAATTTTGACTTTTCATTCTTCTAAAGAATATGTTAAAAAATTGACATTTGAACTGTAACTCAGAAACAGACTTGTGAGTTTTCCAGAACACGTCTTTTATGAAAAATGTATACTTCATTTCATTTCCTTTTACTGTTTTCTGGGTATATAATCTTCCACAATCTGATAAATAAATCAATAGAAAATATTCATAGGCACAAAAACAAGAGAGGAAACTTTGATGGAGATGAAAAACCGACGTGTTCGAGTTGCGAGGAAAGAAGAAAATGCAAAATGAAAGAGGAAACTTTGATGAAGATGAAAAACCGACGTGATCAAATTGCAAGGAAAGAAGAAAATGCACAAAGTCTCTATCGATCCATTAGTTTCCCCATATTTTAGTCATTCATTTTAAAATATTTTCTCTAACAAAAAGACTTAGAGGCAAGTTAAATATTGTCATCGAATTTCATCTAGATGGATTCCGTTCAAAAATCTGTTCAAAATCTGTTTTTTCGTTAATCAGCTGTCGCCCCAATACGAACGACAACTTTTGGAAGTTGAGAAACTTGTGCGAGCTAAGGACTAACGAGGTCTTACCTTTTAACGTGATATTCCTCACACGGTTATATATGAACAATTATGCAGCAGACAATGTGACTCCTTGTCGTTATAATCTATATGCACTTTCGAATCAGAGTGGGTCTACCTACAGCGGACATTATACAGCATTCTGCAGACATCTTTATACAGGCATGTGACACGAATACAATGATTCACACGTGTCACCAATTTTACAAAAATTGCTTGTGAGTGGAGATGGATACATCCTCTTTTATGAAAAGGAGGAAACGAGATCGCATCTTTGAGTGTTTTGAAAAGTTATTTTTGAACTGTTGATTTTGATGGTATATTGAATTATATGTTATTATATTGAAAAAAAATCCAGATGTCCAGATAATCTACATGAATACATACACTGGATGTTTTTTGAGAATTCAGTTATCAAGTAGATACGATCCGTTTCCATAGATTTATACCCTCGTTATGTGCTAAAATAATATATGCGATATGTTTCTGACTAATCGGACTCTTCAGTGATTTATATTACGCAGTTACTTCTCGGAGTGAACTTTTCAGTTTTTCCTTTATTACACTTCATAAGATTCTCTATTGATTTAACTTTATACAAAGAAGTAAGTTTCAGACACAAACTGAAGGAAAATCCCTCCAAAACAGCTAATTTCATATAAACATTGGATGACACGAAAAAAATGTACTTCCGAAACGAATACTTCTACATGAACACTGAATTATATGGCAAAAACCTTCCTTCAAATAAGTTTCTATACTTGACATTCGTTATGCAAAAATAAAGGTTTTGACATTTTATTTCTTCGTCTCAAAACAAAAAAAAAAGACTAGCAATGTTCTTTGTGATATTCTAGTTTTGAAGAAACCTTTGGCATTAAAAAATTGACCCAATTGAACTACCTATTTTTTATCTATGTTCTTACAAAGTAGTCCCCAAACTCTATAGGTATAGGTTTTTACTTAACTCTGGAACTTGTTGTGTGAAACCATATGTTTTACATCTGTTCTACATCTGATATTATGTGGTTTAAAATGATATCACAGAAGAATACTGAATCTATATGCTGCCTTTAACGATCACCAAGCGATATACAATATATGGTATAATCCTCTTTACTTGCAAACACCATTGACTTTCTGCAAATCAATCATTCCAGTGCCGAAATTTCCATATTCGGTGACAAATTTTCAAATATCAACGACATACAAGGTCGCAAATCTGGGGCTTTTGCAGAAAGCCACGGACATTTTGAGAATATAAATGAGCCAAACAGGATTCCTGACCGTGATGGAGAATATGCTAGTCTTCTGGATCTATACCTAACAACCAATCCAGAAATTCACACAGTCACCGTAAGGCTCCATTGAGATCTTCAGACCTCAAACTCATTTCAGTGTTGAGTGATAAATGTTGGGGACCAATCTAAGCAGCGCAATGTTTGGCATTACAGATCTGCTGAGTAGGAGGATGATCCATCAACTTGTGCTTTTGAAGTCATAGAATTTATTCTATCATCCATGGATGCATATATCCCTTTTTCAATGAAACGAATTTTGGTTTAACAAAACTTGTGAGCAAGCTATCGAATCCAAAAATCTAGCCTACCAGTGGTGGTGCCAAAATCCCAATGCCAAAAACCTAAATAGGTTTTTTAATGCTCACAACAGCGGCAAACTCAGAATGAATGGAAGCAAAGAACTTCACAATCAGAGAATTAGGGATAAACTGTTTGTCAGTCCCACCAGTATTTTGTAGACCTTTCAACCTGTCTTACATGAGAGGCAAGAAAAATCTTCGAGATAACTATAGATTAGTCACTTTGCTATCAGTGATATGAAAAACCATGGAAAAAGCCGTAAACCACAATATTTTCAAATATTCGGAAAGCTCCAACATCTTGAACGATTATCAATATAGCTTTCGTGAACAATGATCAACAGGTGACCTTCTATCGTATGTCACCCATATTTGGGATAACGCAATCGAGAAACATGCACAAGCGCTGTTGCGCTTGATATTTCTAAGGCCTTTGACCGTTTGTGGCATGAAAATTTGTTGGCCGAACTTCGATGCTATGACATCTCGGATCGTTTTTCTGTATGACTCTCCAGATTTCTGAAGGACGTTTCCTGGAAGTGGCAGTCAACTCTGGTGTTCCCCAGGGATTTATATTATCTCCAACCCTCTTTTTATTGTATATCAACGACTTATCAGGAAATTCAGTCATCTGGCTCTTGTCGATTTATCTTCTGACATTAACCTTCTCATCGATATATTTTTGCGATACGCCTCCACCTTACACTTTCCTTTGTCTTCCAATTTAGACTAATCTACAAATACAAGGGACCCGATAAATCCCGGATCCCTGATCTCAGACTCTATGATGGTTTTAGTTCACCTGCATATCAACTTCACGTTGTATTCCTTCAGAACTCTTCACATAGAGCAAGAAACCTATTTGGAATCATCTTGGCATTCTCTTTCGTGAGTCGTATTGCCGCCCGAAGTCGGATTTGCTCGACTCATCTCCATCAAAATCATTTTTCAAACGGTTGTGTTTTTCAGGAAAAGTCTTAGTTTTGAAGTTTCAATTATCAATTCCTTTCGTCGTGGCTGGTGATTGGCAAAAACGTAATTCATGAAAACCTACAGACCACGGAAATAGCTCTAACTGATATAAATTTTGTTCCTGTGTGTTCCGTTTTGATATAAATTTGGTCTCCAAAAGTTCACTTCTTGGTGGGAAGTATTCATCTCCATATTTGTTTTCAATGATGAGATGAGTCAAATAATATTCACGCAGTATTGTTTCCAGGGTGAACTCATTTTTCAACGAAGAATTTTTGTAAAAAAAACAATTCGATATGAGTTTTGTTTCTTCTCTTGGAGGAAATTGATTACGAACAACAACAATGTGAAAAGAAAGCGTCAGCAACAACAATGTGAAAAGGAAGCGACTGGACTAAGAATTTTAGGATCCAGCCAAATGTTACACTCATGCTCAATCCCTAAAGAGATGGGGTGGAATCAAAGGATGCAATCTTGCCAGTATCACCTTGGGCGACCCTGGGAAGCTGGCGCCGAAGAAATATCTGGCGATGACCAAGAAAAATCTACGCCTTANAACAAACGTGGATTTAAAAAAATCTTTCTACGATATTTTGTTGCCTTACTTACCCCCAAGTAGTGTACTCTCTCTTCATCATATCGAAAGGTTCCGTTATCAGGGATTCCGTTTGCGGTTATAATAATGGAGGGATTTTTGTAAGTATCTTTGATCCATTTCAGAAATGAACGCATACTTCCGGGTACTATCTAAAAAAATTGTTTGATTTTTCTCATATTTCATTTCAACTAAATTCTTCTGTTGAATGCATGCCTTATTACTAATATTTTGCTCCATGGTTGATAGAATTCTTGTCGATGAAAAGAGTACATTGGAAATGTGGTAAAAATATAAGTTAGTCTATAAGTTAGTTAGTTAGTTAGTATATAAGTAATAGGTAGCAGTCATCACACCACTCGCCTCAGCAATTACCGGTATTCATCAGATGATCAACATCATAGTTATGTGATTTTTTTTTCAATGAAATTGTATAACATAAAATTATTGTTTTACTTATTTCATTATATTAAGTTCTATTGTTATGAAATATTTCTGACGTGGATACATAACTTCTGCTAGTTTATATAGCTCATCTGTTGAAGAGTAATTTTTATGAATGAATTTTATAACCAGAACTTTTCAATATTTCCGGGTCGTTTATGCAGAAAGTGTATGCTCTGGTCCTAAACAAAATACAATAATGTACTAGTAGGTGAGATTCCAGGAAAGGATAATAAATCATGTTCACTCGATTACTATTCAAAATACGTTTCAGGTACATACATTTGGGCAAAGGAGGGTGTTTCGAAAATTGTCCTACAGAGAACGGTATGTATTCTGGGTTACTGAAATTTATTGTTAGCGTTTTTAATTACAACCATTTAACTGTTTTTGGTAGGTCACTTTCAGTGGTTCCAATCGCCGCTTGCCAGTTTTTTCCTTTGCAAAATATTGCAGTATCGTTTGCGAAGCTCACTAATTTTGCCTGAATGAATGGTTCGAATAAATATTATGACTGCATTTTCAACCTTTCAATACCATTATCAGTTTATCTTTTTCAGTTCAATTCATTGTTTTCTTTATTACTTATAACCCAAACTGAAATATTTTCTTGTGATTGAAAGGGTTGAATTTTCAGGAGTGATTAATTTTTGAGAAAGAAACTATTTGGTTTCAAGATAGAGTAGTAGAAATCCAAAAACTTTCCCAAAATTTTTGTTAAGTTCGAGGTTGGAATCTGTTAAAATCCATTAATGGAATTTCCGGATTTGGATACAGAATTTTCATTGTTACTCTTGCAACTACTGAAGTTAACATTGATTTCGTATCAATTTTGTGCTGAAGATATGCATGTTGCCCACTCAAATAAACGAGTGGCTCCAACGTGAATTATGAAAGATTACTCACGGTTTTACCGAAGGTGTTTATTGTCCAATTGGGATCCAGTGTTTCTTTAACCCTCAAATCATTCTCGAAAGACGTTTCATCGTAAGGTGCTTCTTTGTCGTCCGAAATCAACCTTGTTGTGAAGAATTTGACTGCCATGAAATCTGCCGTGCCCTTTATTTCTTTTATTTCTTCATCGGTGAAAGCAGGAAGACGAGTTCTCTCCTTCTAACTGAATCACATTAGGCAGGCAATATATGGACGTACGAAATTACGTCCAGAAGAATATGACGAACATCCAACACGGAATCTGTACAAATTAGTACGAGGAACGAGACTGATGGAATGGGTGTCATGAGAAGATGAGAGAATAAACGCAATAAGCCCAAGAGGCTGCAGTGTTTCCTGGAGACTTGGACTGAATGGACAAGTCAGACAGCTCCCAAGATATCAAAAAAAAACTTCCTATAATGTGTTCGTAGAGTTGTTTTCGGACTTCGTCTGCAGGAGGTGCAGTGGACATTCTACTGAATCAACTTCAGGTAGAGCGTATGACCAGTTGGAATTATTTTGTTTGCTTGAGACACTCAGAAGGTTAGTTGTGACGAATCTTTCCAATGGAAGCCGTGGGGCCATATGACGAAAACGGCATCTACATATCTGAACCAGCAAGAGGGTTCGGCCCCACGACTCCAAAACTCTTCATAATTTCCTTGATCACCTCAACGACTTCCACCCAAATATAAAGTTTACAATAGACTTCGAAACCAATAATTCCCCTCCATTTCTAGATGTCCTCATCACAAAATCCAATAATGCATTCAGTCACACTGTTTACAGGAAACCATCATCTGTTCGAAATCTGTTTTTCTGTTAATCAGCTGTCGCTCCCATACGAACAACTCTCAGAAGATGAGAAACTCGTGCGAGCTTGTGTGAGTCCTAACACGGTCATACGCATAATGATACCTTAACGCAAACTCCCATCATCATTCAGCACAAGCCAATTTCGTCTTGAATTTTCTCATCCACAGATCTATCAATCTCAGAGACCCCTACAACATCCACAAGAACCGGCTCAAATCAGCTCATCGTCAAAATGGATTCCCATATCATCAAATTGACAAATCCACCCGTCGCCAACAAACTTCTCCATCCAGTTCTAGAGATCCAATAGACAACAATATTCACCACAAAGTTTTCCTTCTTCACATTAAAGGTGTTACTTACAAAATTGGTCAAATTCTTAAAAAACAGGACATAAAATATTCATCGCCAACAATCAAGTTTCCATATTCGTCCGTTCCCCCAAGGACATACTTGTCAATAAATCCCTGGGTTTCATATATAAATACTCCAAAAAGTTAACGAGAACATAATATTCAACGAAAGTCATTTTTTGTGGAGGAAAAAATCAGTTTTTTTATCGACCTTTTTTGGGTAATTGTTACCTTCCACAATCTGGAAAAATATAAAAAAATTATAATGGAGAACTTTATACAAGTGTAGAAGGGCAAACTTTTTAGTTTACCCCGATAAGTTACTGTGTAAATATCAAAGTATTTTCGATTTTTACGCAGTAACTTATCGGGGTAAAGTAAAAAGTTTGCCCTTCTACACTTGTATTAAATTCTCCATTATAATTTTTATATTTTTTCAGATTGTGGAAGGTAACAATTACCCAAAAAAGGTCGATAAAAAACCTTTCTGAAACAACTGAACAAATAACATATGATATAGCATGAGGTACTTCTGTATATTTTTTATATTGTGCCTTCGCTTTTAGGTAACTGGTTGTTGTGATATGTTCCAGGATTGATGTTTGGTGTCAGATAACTGGACTTTCATGGTAGCTTTTCGAAAGAGCCAAAAAATGAAGAGCTAATATCTGTTAATCTCAGCTTCTATTGGCATTGTTTGATGATGGATTGATGGAGGCGCATAGCCCTTTTCAGTAGGAACTGTATGCTCTTGTCCTAAACAAAATACAGTAATGTACTAGTGTGTGAGATTCCAGGAAAGGATAATACAACATGTTCACTCGATTACTATTCAAAATACGTTTCAGGTACATACATTTGGGCAAAGGAGGGTGGTGCAAGCAGCTTTATTGGACCAGAACCTGTCATTGGCATCGATTTAGGCTTTGTCAAACAAAGAATGAACACCTGTATAGCAAGAAGATGTATGGACTTCTGGCAGAATCTTCCTGGATTGGCTCACTCCAAGGCGTTTATTCACCCTTTGAAGCTTGATACCAAACAGTAGGAATGAACTACGATGTCTTATTACAGGCCTTATTACAGGTCACTGTCATTTGAATCATAATATGCAGAGATTCGAACTGTCGGAAGACAGTTTGTGTCGCTTCTGTTTAGAAAATGATGAAACAGCAGAGCACATACATTGTGCCTGCCCCGCTGGGGACGGAATAAGGTTTTTAGAGTTCGGCAGAGCCGCACTTTACCATCTGACCTGACAGACCACTCACCATATAAACTTGTTACTCTTGCAACTACTGAAGTTAACATTTATTTCGTATCAGTTTTGTGCTGAAGATATGCATGTTGCACACTCAAGTAAACAAGTGGCTCCAACGTGAATTATGAAAGAATACTCACGGTTTTACCGAAGGTGTTTATCGTCCAATTAGGATCCAGTGTTTCTTTAACCCTTAAATCATTCTCGAAAGACGTTTCATCGTAAGGTGCTTCTTTGTCGTCCGAAATCAACCGTGTTGTGAAGAATTTGACTGCCATGAAATCTGCCGTGCCCTTTATTTCTTTTATTTCTTCATCGGTGAAAGCAGGAAGACGAGTTCTCTCCTTCTTATTTTTGCTTCGATATTGAACTCTCTCTTTAACTACTGTCGGCCAATCACCAATGAAAATAGGATTCGCGTAGAGTCCGAACTGGAAAAGTAAAGAGTTATTAATAATATTACTGAAAATATTTACTTTGATTATTTTCTTCGAACCGATAAAGTGATAAAAATTTTAAGGTTAGGCAGCCAAACAGAGTAACAACGATAATAGGTTTTAATGAATTGGTGTATGTAGCCGTTACTAAGTGGTAGGAAATCATAATGAACGAAAGAGAATTGAAACTGTCTATGTTTTTTACCACTTTATTTGTAACTAACGTTACAGCAGTTTCGTCCTATAAGGATATTTCCAAACTTCTACATTAAACTAACAATGGCTGATTACATTAGCCCTTATACCGGGTGTCCCACATTTTATGTGACAGGCAATATCTGGTTTGTTGAAGGAGATACACAAAAATGTTTCATACAAAAGTTTTAGGAGTTCATGACATTCACAGTGGAGATGGAACAGGACGAATCTATACATTTTCTGGATTTGACAATAGCAAAAGTTAACAACAAACATGATTTTTCAATTTATCGTGAGCCGCCACATACAGATGTTATCATTCATAACTCGTCCACTCACCCATATCAGCATAAGGTAGCAGCTTTAAACAGTATGCTCCACAGACTGATAAATGTACCCTTGTCAGAAGCGAATTTCAATATGGAACTGAATATAATAGCAAATAGCCGTAAACAATGATTATGATAGTGGTCTGATACATTCTTTATTATCCAAGAAGTTTTACAGTCAAGCTTTGAAAGAAGTTTTTCCAATTCGAAGAGAAGAGGATAAAAGTTATAGAACCTTAAGCTACTTAGGCCAACCCACTACAAATATTTCAGATTTTCTGCACAGCAAAGGTGTAAATACTGCTTTCAAAACCAACAACAACCTGGGCATGCACATTAAAAATAACAAAGATAAAAGGTCAGTTCCAGAAAAATCAGGAGTGTATAAATTACCGTGTGGGTCATGTCCGATGTTTTATATAGGTCAAACTGGAAGAACGTTCAAAACCCGCATAAAGGAACACAAATATAGTTTTCAGAACGGAAAAATAAATTCCATATATGCTAGTTATCTGATCTCAGAGGGACATAAGTTCAACCAATACAAACCTCTCCATTTCCAGAAGAAAGGTTTGAAACTTAACCTGTTGGAGAGTATGGAAATCAACAAATTCAAATTCAGAATTCAATTCAGTTCGATGAACGATCGAACCAAATTGAATAATTCGCCATTATTGAATCCGTTCATACACAAGTAATAATAGTTAGGTTCATTTACAGGTAGACTTTCGAAAAATGTATTGATACCTGTCTTTTTCATGTATATTTTAACAGGTAGATTTATTACTTAGGTAGACAAACAGGTACTACGTTATAGTATATAAGGTTGTTATTTACAAGTAACTCTCAGTTATGTTTGAAGAAGCCAATGTATGTCGCGGTTTTTTAAAACTCTCATAGTGAAAATCATGGAATGAACTCTGTTGATTAGTTTTTTAATAATAGAAGTACTTGGCTTGATTGAGTAACTGAATTTTATTCATACTAGTTACAATGCGGATATGCTAATTTGGAAACCGGTGAGGAAACTGAATCGATTTGATCATTTAACAGGTTGCACCCGCAATGTTTATGCTTATCCAAGGACTCAAAATAATTGAGTTTGCATCCCTTCCTTGCATAGTGCAAAATTTTCGACCATATGTCGTCGAAATTTTTGTATGCTGAACATGGAAGGTGCTGAACATGCAACACAAGTTCCCGAATCTAAACAATACGAAAATTTTGCACTATGCAAGGAAGGGTTGCAAACTCAATCATTTTGAGTTCCTGGAAATTCACAAGCATAAACATTGCGGGTGCAACCTTTCGAATGATCAAATCGATTTAGTTTACTAACCGGTTTTGAAATTAGCATACCAGCATTGTAACTAGTAAACAAAATTCAGGTACTCAATTGAGCCAAGTACCTTTATTATTACCTACAAGGGTGCTTGTTGAGTGAAACGGGCGACGAGAAACAGCATTTTCATTCCGGTGAGAAAGAAGTGTTTTCGATAGATCAATATCTCACCAGTGGTACAAAATTTTACTTCTGGAGCATGGACTACTTTGAATATAAGTTCGCTGTGTAGCAGATTTTGAGCAAATGCTGTACTCAAAAGTGTCCGCTAAATCGATTTCCAGAAAACACTCTTTTAGATCAGTTTCAAATTCCAAATCCAACGGCTTTGAATATTTATGGATTACTCACATCGAACATCATACTTCTCTCTGTGGCACTCACATCATTCTTGTCCTTGGTAGCTGGTTCTGACCAAGGACTCTCAAGGGCCAAGGATACTAAACCTAAAACGGACAAACAAATCTGATAACGCAAATCACTTTTAGAGTTGAGGCAGAAATCGTAGAATTGAATCAACATTATTCAAGTCATCCTGTTATCCTATCTCAAACTTCGAAGTTTTGGGATGAAACACTTTCTTCAACAGAACAGTGCTAATGAACTGAAATTAGCACTGTTTTTGAATAACGTTCGAATCGCAAATAAAAATATTTTTGAGGAAGATTAGTTTTTTAGGATTAGTACTTTTCGATCACATAAAGAAATAAATTGAATAATAGTCAGGGCACATGATTCTCGGACCCAATGATCACTTACTTCACGGTGTGGGGAGTGGTCATTGGTTGATAATGCTGGCGCGCCCTCCCTTATGTATAGGGGCTTCGGGGGATAAGGCCTGACCAGCGCACACTACGGTGAAAATAATAATAATACTAATAACTTTATTATCAACGTATGCAGATTAGAGTACAATTGAAATAAAATATGTGAACAAAGTGGTTTGGCGATAAGAGCAGAGATCTTGTTTCGCAAGAAGTTATGAAGAATATGTAAGTACATAAATATTTGTATAAAAATATGTATGGCCTTCATGGAGTAGTAACTACAAGACATTCTATTGAATTTTGTGAATTTGGTGTTATAGTTACGCAAATTATATTTCAGCTTGAGGTAAAATAGGCCGATTAGATACTAGACAAACAAAACGTAAGAAAAATAGATAAAATCTTAGACAAATATTACACGTTCTATAAGAATAAAATATTAATGTACAAATAGATAAAATCTTAGGCGATATGGATAAGATTATGCTACTTACAATACAGTTTTGTTTTTTAAATATTGGTTTCGAATAAGAATTTTTTATTTTGTGAGGTACGGTGTTATATAATTTAGTTGCCATGAAAGAATATGCTCTTTATGAAATAGACTTTTGAACAGTAGGATAGGTTAGTTGGTCACGATGTCGTGTGTTATAGTCGTGGTTTCGTGATGATGCTTTATTTTTGCTGAAATGATACTTTACGTTTGTACAATAGTAATATAATTGTCTCATATCCATAACTTCACACTCTTTATACAGGAGATCTGACGAGAAACGTGAACTTCTAGACATGATCAACTTCATGAATCCCCTTTGTAATACCTTTAACGAATTGAGGTGTACACGCAGAGCTGATCCCCATGCTGTTATACCATATTTCAAATGGCTCTCTACTAGGGAACTATATAATTGATTAAGTTCTTTGTGGGGTGAGTCATTTTTCAAGGAACGGAAGTTGTGAAGCATTGTTTGCAGTTTTTTCATTGTATATTTTATATGAAAGTCCCACCTTAAGTTTCTATCTATGTAGACGCCCAAGTATTTGATTTCTCTCAGGGAATCTATTTTTATCGTTGAATAACTTTAAAAATCTATACGTAGAGAATAAACAGAGTTTTTTATTCCAAAAAACAACCTGTGAGAAAACACCCTTTCGAAACAACTAAATTTCATTTGAATGTCCCAAAAAACTAATCTCCCTCTTCAATTTGGTAGATTGACCCTGTATTGTACATACCGTTCAAGTTGCTGAATTCAGTTTTGTAGAGATGGTAAACAGCTGCATGAGCTTTGAGTACGTAATAAGCACATTTATAGTCTGATACTCCACTGTCTTTGGTACCTGGTGCTAGCGTTCCTATACCATAGCCACCTCTACATATTTGCCTGGGGTCGTTAATAGTAATCCAATATTTGACCGTTTTGAAAGTATCAAATACCACCCTGGTGTAGTTCACGAAGTAATCAACTGTTTTCTTGTTGGTCCAGCCTCCTTGTGTTTGTAGAAATTGAGGAAGGTCCCAGTGGTACAGTGTAACAATCGGAGTCAGATTATAGCTCTTCACCTCTTTCAACAACTCTTGGTAGTAATTAACTCCTTTTACACTAACAAGCTTGTTGGAACCTTTTGGGAGGATTCTGTAAAACAAACATAGAGTTCTAGTTCAGATAAAATCTTTCATAGTTCATGTACTGGACCTCCAAAGAAACTTTATATAGGTTCAAACGGCACCCATTGGATCCACTGAGTAAAATTTATTTCAACATTTTTTGACGAGTTTTGGTTGAAGATTGAACAAATATATCAGCAGGGGGTTCATCGACCCCCTTCAAAATTAGTCTGAGCAAAAAATTTGCGACCCTCTGTAACTCAAAACTGAAGATAAATTTTCATACAATTTTCATCAATGTTCGAAGATCGGAGGTTGAAGTGTTTGATTCCATTCTGTAATTTGGTAAAAATATGAGAATGCTATCCATTCTGAGTCGAAGTAGTGTACAACCCATGCAAAACAACTACAAAAATCAATTGGCGCTCCGGGGCAACTTCATTGACTCCAGTGGCGCATTTGCTTTTTCAGCTGCAGGCAAACCCGGAAAAATCTGCAGCATCACATCATCTGAAGATTTTGATCTCCCAATGTCCTATCTCTCATAAAACAAAATGTAGGGTATCTCTAGAGGCTCCAATAAATTCAAAACATCGCCAGAACAGTTAGTGACATGACTATCGTCAAATTTAAACCAGTCAGTTTCGTCTTTGAACAAGGCGTAATGATGACCAGATTCAACGTCAAAACCACAGTGAACAATGACTGCATCAATATTATAATAGTGGTCTGCTAGATTGAAGTGTTCATACTATGCACAATTTGCATATTTGTATATAATTCTCAAGCGCGTTATGACCCACTGTTCTGAAGCAAGTGGTAACTTTGATTTTCCTAAGTGTGATTTCTCAAACACTCTATTATTTGTTTAATTTTTTTCAGGCAAGAACACTCACCAAGGTAGTTAGGAGAAGTTGTAGTGCAACTCCGAAAAAGATTCATGTTGCTCTGGTTGTTTTATTATTTGGAAATCATAGTCGATAAGTAACCGTTTTCTCCTATATTTTAACGACAGAACACCTGCGTATTACAGTGCATATTACATATAATATTACATAGCATATTATGCAGCATATTATTTCACAATGCACGTCATTATTTTATATTATATTACAGAAATGATTACACGCATTTCCATCACGCCATTTACATAATAAATTAATTATTCAAAAAAAATTGCCCACCTTGTCCAAGCTATCGAAAAGTGATATGCATTGAGTCCCGTTAGATAAGCAAGTCGAATATCTTCCTTGTACTTGTAATATGAGTTGCAGCTGATATCGCCAGTGGCGTTTCCAACAATATTAGACGCATTTCCGTGAACAAAGTTGTCCCAAATAGTCTCGCCTCTTCCATCTTTATTCCAGGCTCCTTCAATCTGATAGGCAGATGTGCCAGCTCCAAACATGAAATCGCTGGGAAAGGAGTTGTTGAGGTAGGATGACGAATGACTGAGAAAAAAAGTAAATCAATCACAATAGTAATCCTAATAGTGATAGCAGTAATGCTAGTGATATGAAAAATAGAAATTGTTCTCTTTGAACTCCTCAGACACAATCCAGACCACTCTTAAGAGATGGTTGTTTTGATTAATTATTGGAGTCGTTGGAAAAATGTTGCCCTCTCTTGTCTCGAATCTGAATTCTCAGATACAAAACGGATATATGAGTAGGGAGAGTCGAGGAGAGGGGTCTCTCTATGCAGAGTGAACCTGCTTATCTATAGGTATGTAAGGCAGAAATTGATACAGCATAAGCGTAACCTACCTATGGCCTGAACCGATAATCAAAAGGCATTTGATTCAATATCGCATGATATCATTTCGCATTTGCTCAGATTTCTCGCGGTACCCGACAAAGTAGTAATATGTCTTGAACAACTGATACCACTGTGACGGACTTGCCTCACTGTCACATCTGGTCAGGCTAGAGTCTAAACAGAGTGAGTCACTTTCAAGAGAGGCGTGTTTCAGAAGATTTCATCACCTCCATCCTCTTCTGCATGTTACTATTGCCATCCGTTGCGTTCAGAAGTACTCGAAGGCACAATAGCACATTGGTATGATACCCAAGTTGACTTGGGTGGTTCCACTTATATCCCGCTTGCGTTTACACAGTTATTTTCACCAAGTAATCTTCTTGGTGCTTTACATTTGTCTTCAGTCAAGGTCTTTGTAGGTATGTGTGGCAGATACCCCGCAGAAAAACTACAACCAACCCATCTAATGCTGAGCAGAAAGCTGAAGTGGAACCATCAGGCACCTGTCTTCCATTCGGAAGATTCGTCGAAAGTAACTTCCTATAATGTGTTCGTAGAGTTGTTTCCGGACTTCGTCTGCAGGAGGTGCAGTAGACATTCTACTGAATCAACTGCAGGTAGAGCTTATGACCAGTTGGAATTATTTCGTTTGTTCGAGACACTCAGACGGTTACTTTTGATGAATGTTCCAAATGGAAACCGTGGGGCCATATGACGAAAACGTCCGGGGTCCAGTCCAGGGTAAATACAATAATGTAGTGAAGGGATGCATGCAGCAGGCCCTAAATATTATAACAAGATGGACCGAAGAAGAAGGGCTCAACATAAGCCCATCCAAATCGACCATAGTAGCATTCACCATACCTATGGCCTGAACCGATAATCAAAAGGCATTTGATTCAATATCGCATGATATCATTTCGCATTTGCTCAGATTTCTCGCGGTACCCGACAAAATAGTAATATGTCTTGAACAACCGATACCACTCTGGCGGACTTGCCTCACTGTCACATCTGGTCAGGCTAGAGTCTAAACAGAGTGAATCACTTTCAAGAGAGGCGTGTTTCAGAAGATTTCATCACCTCCATCCTCTTCTGCATGTTACATTGGTATGACACCCAAGTTGATTTTGGTGGTTCCAATTATATCTCGCTTGCGTTTACACAGTTATTTTCACCAAGTAGTCTTATTGATTCTTTACATTTTGTCTTCAGTCGAGGTATTTGTAGGTATGTGTGGCTGATACCCCGCAGAAAAGCTACAACCAACCCAGCTAATGCTGCGCAGAAAGCTGAAGTGAAACCATCAGGCACCTGTCTTCCATTCGGAAGATTCGTCGAAAGTAACTTCCTATAATGTGTTCGTAGAGTTGTTTCTCTGGGCTTTGTCTGCAGGAGGCGCTTCGGACATTCTACAGAGTCAGCTGCAGGTAGAGGTTATGACCAGTTGGAATTATTTTGTTTGTTCGAGACACTCAGACGGTTACTTGTGATGAATCTTCCAAATGGAAACCGTGGGGCCATATGACGAAAACGTCCGGGGTCCAGTCCAGGATAAATACAATAATGTAGTGAAGGGATGCATGCAGTAGGCCCTGAATATAATAACAAGATAGACCGAAGAAGAAGGGCCTAACATAAGCCCATCCAAATCGACCATAGTAGCATTCATCAAGAGGACTAAAACGGAGGGTCTCGAACCTCTGAAACTTCGAGGTGAAGAAATACAAGTGTCGGGGGAGGTTAAATATCTGGGAGTAATCCTAGATTCCAAACTGACCTGGAACCAACACTTGGACAGAATTAAGAGGAAAGCGGAGGTAGCACTGATGCTCGCCAGACGCACGTATGGAAAAAGATGGAGGCTGAATCAGACATGGTATATTGGCTATACACGATGGTGGTTAAACCCATGATAACATACCCATCTCTGGTCTGGTGGCCTAAGATGAAGCAGGAGACCGCCATCAACAAACGAGGCAAGGTGCAAAGACTTGCATGTTTGGGAATGACGGGAGCAATGAGAACTACCTCAACAGCTGCATTGGAGACACTCCTGAATCTACCTCCTTTACACCGTGTGATAATAGGGGAGGCCAGGATGGGCCAATTCAGACTGGAAAACTCACCAAACTATGAAAGATCGGACCGAACAGAAATTTCGGAACAAGTGGAAGAGCACATATTGAATATGTGCACGGACCACGTGACACCGAAGTACACCTTCAACACAAACTTCACGGCCAAAATCATAAGCCGTGAAGAGTGAAAGACCATTAGTTATCACGAAAACATGTTTGGAAAAAACACCTGGTATTCAGATGGATCGAAGACCAAACATGGAACGGGAGCTGGAATATACCGAGCGAATAGAAATTTAAACTACAGCTATCTGCTAGGACTATACACATCCGTCTTTCAGACGGAAGTGTATGCTATCTTGCAGTGTGCAAGGCTTATTAAATTGAGACTTCAAAGAAATGAGCGCACTAGGGGCTCTGACAAACCAGAAGGTAACATCAAAACTGGTCTGGGAATGCCATGAAGAACTGAATGAACTTGCAAACAGGAACAAATCAACTTTGTACTAGGTGCCAGGGCATTCAGGAATCACAGGTAATGATAAAGCTGATGAATGCGCTAGACGCGGATCATCAACTTCATATATAGGTCCTGAACCAACTCTGGGGGTACCAAAATCATTGGTGAGGAACCAGATTGGTATATAGACCAATAAGAAGCACACAGAGTACTGGACAAAAGTACATGACAACAAACACAGAACAACATACCGGTCATTGTCCGCTTAGAGGACACCCGAATAAAATGGGGCTGTACAACGGAGACCCCAGCTGCAGATTATGTAACGAAGGAACAGAAACAGCTCTACACATTTTATGCGAATGTGAGGCACTGAATCACATTAGGCAGGCAATATATGGACGTACGAAATTACGTCCAGAAGAATATGACGAACATCCAACACGGAATCTGTACAAATTAGTACAAGGAACGAGACTGATGGAATGGGTGTTATGAGAAGATGAGAGAATAAACGCAATAAGCCCAAGAGGCTGCAGTGTTTCCTGAAGACTTGTACTAAATGGACAAGTCAGACAGCTCCCAAGGTACCAAAAAAAAACTTCCTATAATGTGTTCGTAGAGTTGTTTCCGGACTTCTTCTGCAGGAGGTGCAGTGGACATTCTACTGAATCAACTGCAGGTAGAGCTTATGACCAGTTGGAATTATTTTGTTTGCTTGAGACACTCAGAAGGTTAGTTGTGACGAATCTTACCAATGGAAGCCGTGGGGCCATATGACGAAAACGGCATCTACATATCTGAACCAGCAAGAGGGTTTGGCTCCGGAACTCTTCATGATTTCCTTGATCACCTCAACGACTTCCACCTAAATATAAAGTTTACAATAGACTTCGAAACCAATAATTCCTCTCCATTCCTAGATGTCCTCATCACAAAATCCAATAATGCATTCAGTCACACTGTTTACAGGAAACCAACATCTGTTTAATATCTGTTTTTCTGTTAATCAGCTGTCACTCCCATACGAACGACAACTCTCAGAAGATGAGAAACTCGTGCGAGCTTGTGTGATTCCTAACACGGTCATACACATACAGATATCTTAACGCAAAATCCCATCATCATCCAGCACAAGCCAATTCCGTCTTGAATTCTCTCATCCACAGATCTATCAATCTCAGAGACCCCTACAACATCCACAAGAACCGGCTCAAATCAGCTCATCGTCAAAATGGATTCCCATATGATTAACGGAAAAACAGATTTTAAACAGATTCAAACAGATATCATCAAATTGACAAATCCACCCGGCGCCAACAAACTTCTCCATCCAGTCCTAGAGATCCAATAGACAACAACATTCACCACAAAGTTTTCTTTCTCTACATTGAAGGTGTTATTTACAAAATTGGCCAAATTCTTAAAAAACAGGACATAAAATATTCATTGTCAACAATCAAATTTCCATATTCGTCCGTTCCCCCAAGGACGAATTTGTCAATAAATCCCTGGGTTTCATATATAAATACTCCAAAAAGTTAACGAGAACATAATATCCTTTCTAAAACAACTGAACAAATAACATATGATATAGCATGAGGTACTTCTGTATATTTTTTATAATGTGCCTTCGCTTTTAGGTAACTGGATGATGTGATATGTTCCAGGATTGATGTTTGGTGTCAGATAATTGGATTGAAAACTACTTTTATGGTAGATTTTCGAAAGAGCCAAAAGATGAATAGCTAATATCTGTTAATCTCAACCTGACTTCATGACTAGGTTCGATTTGTATGCCTAGCTGAATAAATCATCTGTTAATAACTATTGAGGGCCGTATCAGCTTCTAATGGCATTGTTTGATGATGGATTGATGGAGGCGCATAGCCCTTTTCAGTGGCCGGCCTCCTAGGACTCCTGACCTCACCCCTTTTGACTTTGGTCTGTGAGGTTATAAAGAGAATTGATTTGCTACAAACTTCACAGTGTGGGTATCTTAGAAACGAAAATAACAAAAAATTTTTGAGCATTTCAACAATAGGCAATGAAATGTAGGATTGTGAAACCAATAATTGGGCAGGCTTATTGAAAATAACAAAGATCAGAGTTTGGATAAGATAAATTGCTATCAATATGATTTTTTTAAAAATTTTGTTGCCATGACAACTAGAATACAAGAGTTTGGTTAAATAAATTGNTTCGACAAAGAAATTACATACCTCGTACTAATAAATGATTGTAGAATCACAATAACAGCTAGTTGTAGCATTTTCACTCTGTGAATCGTATATATCAACTAATTATTAGGTTTAATCAGTCTCATTTAAATTCGATCGAGTACCTTCATCGAGTACGATTTGCATCTACAAGAAAGAGATAAAGAGATAAAGAGATGTACATTTTTTTCTATTCGGAGATAATTTTGAGAAAGTTTACAAATTTTGTTTCTTTAATGAACAACTGCTTCTCAGTTGAACTGTTCAAAGTGAACTAGATGTTATTAATTAAAAAAAGTTTGTAACAAGATATTCTTTCAAATTCTTTAGAATTTTATGTGATTTTTTCTCTTTTATAATTTTTGGCAATCTATCAGTAGGGGAGCCCACGGTGCAAAATGGGGATTTACTCGAGCATTATAGAGACATATTAGGTGGCAATATGTAAAAAATACTGTTGCATGGATATACTCGAGCGCGTCAGATATTGACAGTATCAATGTCCTACGTATTTTAAATAATGTTCGTATGTTAATCTGATCGTTTGCATGATGCGGGTGGTTGTACGGATTAAAAGTAAAAAGAAAAAAATTTAATCGAGTGCATCAGATTTTCTAAGTCAATAGTCTGACGATTTCAATCTGACGCAAACTCGCGGCAATTGTTATAATGTGCAAAAAAATTTCGCCATTTTGAAAAACTCAAGCGCGTCAGATTGAGATATGTATGGTTCATCTTTATTTTCTAGACGTGCTGTCTCATAATCTGATGATTATCTAGAGGGATTCGCCTAATCTGACAAAAAATAAAATACTTGTATTTATAAGAAAATTTTTGTTCAAATGAATAATTAAAAAAATTAATGATTATTCATCATCTTCTTTTTCATCACAAACGAGTCTCAGTGATCAGCTGTGGTGGCATCATGGCAACATAATTCAGAGTGGGGACGGAGTGAGAGAGTAAAAGATAGAGAAAAAGTGAAAGAGGAATAGAAACTCGAAGAGGGAAATGAAGGTATCATACAGCTGCACGCATTAAACTTTATCGACAAATTTTGTTATTTCTGCTTGCGGAAATCGTCAGATTATATATTTTTCGTAATCTCCGAATTATTTCCTTCAAAATGAAAACAAAAAAATTAGCTACGCTCGAGAATGTGAAATGACGTTATTTTCTTTACAACTTTGCTGCCCTCCCCTTTCTTTGCGTCACTGTCGAATTGTCAGATTACTAGAATACTTATACACTTTTCAGCATGTGATTAACTCACCTTACCTTAACCTGACGCGCTCCAGAATTTATGATGATCAATTTTTTTACCAATCTGATCCTTTATCCTTCACGGGCGGCCTTATATATGGGGCTAATATTTGTGGAGGTACTTAACCGGGTACAAGATATCCCCCTGTATATTAATCTGCCGCGCTTTAGTACATCCCGAAATCCCCGCTTGGGCTTCCCAATTATATTGAAAAAACTAGAACTAGCGTAAAGAGATGACTTCCAACATTCGATGTGTTCAAATAATTCTAATAATAAAGTCATCTGCTTGTCAGTTTTTCATTTTCAATTATCAACACGCTTTTATTAGCTACACCTGTATGTATGTATGTTTGTTTGTTTGATTATAACTTTCAAGGTCGAGATCTAAGAAAGTACACTGTACTTTTTCTACGGTTGCGTTGTTTCCAAGTATTTAAAAATAAAATACCAATATAATAATACTTGTATGTCATTAACCCGTAACCGCTACCATCGGGTCCTGTGGACCCATGGACATGTTGATTCTTGTCAAAGAGTACTATATAGTAATCGCTCGCATCCCTACTCTCGAGTATTCCTCAAAATAGTTGCAATCGAACGGCCGACGAGCGCGCATTAATTTTTAAATCCATTTTAACGAATTCGAACTGATTTTGGGTCCACGGGACCCGTGGGTACTTAACATTATAGTTTCTGTGTGATTTTATAAAAGGTAAAGAAACAACAAAGAGACTAATGGTCTATTTACGTCACAAGTTGATGAAAATAGTAGATAGTGATGAATTTTGGAACAATATTGAAAACAAAGATGATGTTTCTAATGATGAAGGAGATCAGTTGCGTGATATTGAAGAGATACTTGATTATAGAAATGCAAGTGAAAAGGATAAAAATGTCTTCCAAAGACAGGAAGGAAGTAATCAATTTGAAAATAAGTAACTCTATACATGGATGTGTAGATCATGTAAAGAAGTAACTTTCAGACACAAACTGGAAGAAAGTCCTTAGATTTGTACCGACATGACTCGAGGACGATGTAATCTCTCTTATCACCAGCTATGCTTGTTGTGTTCCACTCAATTCAAAATAAAATTACTATTTCAACAATACTTTCGTCTATTTCGGCTGGAGTTCTGTTACCATAACTTTTGAGAGGCTTATTGAATGATCCAAATTCGCTTAGGGTTTTGTCTAATTTCTGGAACAAAGTTTAATGCGGTTGACGCCTATCGGGATGAATTTCCTCATACCGTTGGGCTGTTGCATAACTGTTTCTATGGTTTTCATAATAAATATTTATCGTGTCCACTTTTTCTTCAGCGGAAAACATCACTTTTACCCCAATAAACTCAAAGATATGTAACAAATATGAGAAATGTCAAAATATTATCGAAAATTGTTCTCATAGTCTATTGAGATTTCGTCGGTATTGAACATAGTAACTAAAGACATCAGCAACTTATAGGTGAGTATTATATTAACAAGCAAAAATGTGGTGTTATGATCTTTCTATTCCCAAGAATCACTTATGGTGCTTATAGAAACGTGGGTATTGCTTCCATTCGACCTGTTGACAGATGGATAGTAAATAATGGACCGATAAGATGGTTTACAAGATCACTAGATCTTAATATTTTCGATTATTTTTTATGGGGGACATTGAAAAATAGGATT